GGTACCCTTACATGTCTCAGTCCCCTTCCTACGAAATCGTTAGTGCGTCAAGAGCCCAGGCTTCGAGGGTCTGGTGGTACCGGTGAGACGTACGTCAACCTCCAAGTGATTGGAAGCGTGCTGCTAATAGATTCGTGAGAGGACGGCCCTTGGTCTACTGTCAGTAGTTGGAATGCCGCAGGGAGTAACATCCACTCTGTGGGTGACGGGTGGAGGGGCATTCCGGAAGAAAGCGTCGGCTAACCACGTTGTTTGTTCCTGGAATGTGGGAAGGCTCCCATCCGTCCTTCCACCTTCGGGTCCGCCAAAGCTTAAAAAGCTGGAATGTCAGTTCTAGTAGCGTCGATGATCTTAATGGAGCCTTGTAGACGTCCATGTAGAAGGCTACTGTCGAGCTGCAGTATGTGTACTGCGAGGAACTCGATTCTCGAGAAGGTGCCTAACAATGTTGACTGCTTTTATAAACCGCCCTGGAATTCCTGTTGGTTTAAGTGTGCAAGTGATCTCTTCCAGCGACCAAATCCCTGATGTGGTTTCTTCTGCTAGTAATGCGTTCCCCATCCCTGTAGAGATGCATCCCAGAAGAGATGAAGATTTGTACGCCGGCTCTTGCAAGTAAGTTCCGCTGTAGACATTCGACTTCGTCCACTTCCACAGGGGTACAACTTCAGGTGCTGAGGTATGGGAGATCTTCTGCTGACTAAAGAGAGCGGTCCCAGGTGTAGTTTTCCCTCTGAGCGTGAGAGAGCATGAACTGACGTGGGAGGACGTGTAATATACATTGCCGTTAATTCTTTATCGGTAGTGAGCCGTTGAGAGCGGCTGAATACACGCTTGTATTTCTGCCCATCGATCTTCGTGAACGTTGATGTTATTCTGCATGGTCCGAACTTTGACGCCTGTGAAACTGTATGTCCCAGGATGGCCTCTATTTCCGATTACATTTGGATTGACTCAGCCAGGCTAGCTGAGTTAGTAAACTGGATTCGTAAACCTGTAGTTGATGTCTCCAGTTGATCTATTAATTTACGAGCTTGAATCCCTGTTGTCCAGATAAATGGCACTCGTGAAGTCCTTTGTTGATGAAGACAATCTGGACAATAGCCACAGGGCCCAGGAAATTCCAAAGGAAGGGACCTTCCACTGATAGTACGGTCCTTGGATACAGGGGATCGTGAGTATTCCAGGACGCTGGATGCATCGGGATTTGCAAGTAAGGTCTTGCAGATCTATGCTGGCTAAGCGGCGATGATGCAGTTGGAGGTAAGGCAGACCCTTGAATTTGGTCTGGTTCTGTGCAGATAAGATGGATGATTGTGATGAGATGGAACTTCTCTGCTGGAGTTCTTCTTTGGTACAAGGAAATCTGGAGGAATAAAAGCCCGGTGAGAGGCTGTGTTGATCCAAGATCTCTACGGCATCTTTATTAATAAGGAGTCGATGGCCCTGTAAACTCTTGCTGCAAGCCAGGCTCGGGGTAATGATAAAAATCTGGGTGAGGTGACAGTAAGCAGAAGCATACTGCCTTGAGCTCGAATTCTGTATCCCTCCCCATAAAATTCCGCTAATGTAGCCATTGCCTAGTATTCTCCAGCTCTCCCAGTAGGCCGCCCAGACGTCCACCCACCGTTGACGGTTGTAGATGAATGGTTGTGCGGGATTTGAACCAGTCGTCCCAAACCTGATCCGGTAGGAACGCCTTCTGCCAGTAAATCCTCCGAGTTATAGAATGAGTGACGAAAAGAAATCCGACTTGCTAAATTCCCAACCGTGGATATTTCTTTTCCCGTGGTAAATTCACGACTAAAAACTGGTTACCATGCCGTGACGGATGACGATTTGTGTAAGCCTCATGGTCTGCGACGAATTAATCACCATCTGATCCTTAGAGTCTTGTAATACCCCTCTGACTCTGTCTCCACGTATCTCGCCATGGTTAAAGTAGTAAATACTTTAGGGGTATGTAAGTCTGACCCATGAACACGATGGATAGGGACGTAGAATATTAATCCCTGCTGATGGAGTATTTTCTCAAGGCAATCCGAGATAAACTCTTCATCCCTTTGAGTGGCACGGCAGCTTGGCAAAACCATCCGTTCTTGTTCCGACTCTTGTATATGCAGCCTTTGATTCCTAGTAGCTTCTAGATTCCTGAGATACGGCCTTGATCGGCGGATGGGTGATAAGAGTCAAAACCCCATCCTGTATGCGTGCATCTATTCGCTGATCGGAGTCCCGAGTAGGTGAAGATATGGGCAGCACTTCATCAGCAATCCAGGATAGTACCTCCGACGCTTGTTGTAGATAAAGGAGTTTGATTCTCTTCAACCCTTCTTCTACCATAGCCAATATCTCCGGAGTAGGGTTCGCAAACCCTGCAGAGGGCGTGGCTCTGGTAGTTGACGTCAATGCCAGTTAGCTCCATTACCTGGATAACCTTGCCCGTAATGTTGTCTACGAAGTCATCAGGGTTGAAGGCTTGCGTAGTACGCTGATGACGATGTACCATCCTTGCAGGGAGGTTTGTGAAACTGGCTGATGAATAGTAGTGGTAAGGTAGCGTTTGCAAACGCTAGCGGGTTGTCCATATAGTCTGCTGATGATAACTATCAGTTGATTGCCTCGGAGGATTCAAGGCGACCTGTGCATGTCTGCGTTGACGTTAGCTGCTCTGTTGCTCTGAGGGTTTGCAACCCTGATGACATCGTAGAGGCACTGTAAGGATTGGTCTGCCTGAACATCTTTACCTAGAAGACTGTGATTGGATGCCGATCCCTCCCTTGGAGGGGACTCTCCTAGATAGAAACTGCCATGTCTGAGTTCACATCTGGTGACCCTGATACATTAACAGATGTATTCATAGATGACATATATACCATGCCAATAATGGTTGTCATCCCTCCCCCAGCCCAACCACCCACACACCAACCAATTTCACCCTCCCACACCCCCTCCACCATTAAAACAATTGAAGGGGTGTGACAAACCATTATTGGCAGGAGTATATTATGACTTTTACCAATAGGTAGTAAAGACAGCAACTCACGATTTGATGACTGATAACCAACCCTCCCAGCGTGAAGCTTTTGTTATCACGCTGTACCTTTGTCTAACTTTGCGTAAACAAGACAAACAAATATTTATTAAAATCAACTGTAGACAAATTCGTGCAATATATACAGCGTGAATACAATGAAGTAAGTCGACAAGAACTGCAGACAGGGGTGAGGGTCAGCCGCTGAGGTACGCACTCAACATTGCTGACATGAAAGCATACATAATCATGCAGTCACCTGCAATCGAGTAAAATGGAATTTCAGTCAAATTTACATGAATAAATATATCGTATATGTAGTAGAATGTCTAAACATACAATCTACGGCACTAATTTGGATAAGTGTCTAAATATATAAAGGATATGAAGCCGTCAAGGGACCCGAAGTATCCGACCAACACTCCGCTTGGGGAAGAAGGAGAGAGTGACAAGAGCATGGCAATGTGCCGATCACGTGGGACACCACTGGCGGGAATGGTGAAGGGAGGCAACCCGAATGGGTGAGTGATTTTACGTTTGCTTCAGGGAGCAAAGGGATTCAAGTTTCCACAACCATTCGAAGGAAAAGGGAAATAATCATATGGCGAGTCAGGATAAGGAAAAATTCAATATATAGTACACAGCATGATACACAGTTATCGCCGGTGAAATGGTACCTGGCAGAATGTCCTTGCTACGGTTTTTCCGCGAGTTTTCTGACAGAAGAGCTCCCTCAGTTTCAGAGGCATTTAATTCTCCCTTCAGTTCAACGAGTTTCTGAAACAATGTAAGCACGATACACAGCCAGATCACACATGAGGTACAAGGATCTGGTCTACAGGGTAAGCTAGATTTTACATCTTTTATCGTAAGGACAAAAAGTAATTTTTTCTTTTGTCTTAGGTTTTCATAATTCAGACACGGTATGGCAATAATATCCATCTCGGATTTTAGGGATATCACAGGGCACTTAAATGTCTGGGGAACGCGTTACAAAACAAATCCAATGTCATGCACACAATTTCAAAACATTCTTTAACAGGAAGTCGAAATGGCTATTGTTTCCAAGAGCCATTCACTTATTTTGAATGGACGTCTCTTTGCAAACCCAAACCTCTCACGCCAGTAGTATATATGTTGCAGATGTTGGTGTACCTTAAAGGCAACACATTACCTCCCATTCTTTTCAAGATGGCTTCTTCTGAAGCCGAAGCAAGGCTGTCGGTGCAGAACCGGCTGTCAAACATGGTGGGCGTCATGTGTGTCATGTCGCTGTACAGCGCCTCCAGCACCACCTGGTGGAGAAACAGGTACCGTTCCTGGGGGCAGAAATCAACACTTAACCGTAGTGTAATAAAATTGAGGAAGACATGTTTGGGGAAACTGACATTATATAATAGTGCTATGTTTCCGAATAGGTGTCAAGCAGACACGTCTTTTGTGAATCAATCATTATCGTGATGACAATGAAGAGTGTTGCTTTATTTACTTACACCCTTTGACAAATGATGTACATGAAGTTAAGGACAATAATATTTTGTGAAGTTTGACTAATATTCATACTTCCACTGACTACCAGCAATACTTAGGGCCACCACGGCTATCTCACCTTTGTTTGCACCATGCTGACCCGGTCTGCTCTCATCTTGAGGACAAATTCGTGGACGTCCACCACTCCCTCCCGTCGAGCTCGCTCCATCAGGGCCTCCAGAGCAATAAATGTCCCTGTTCTCCCAACTCCAGCACTGGAAATATACATATTTCCGAGGGAGACGGTATACAATGTACCTTACGTGAGTATCATTAATGTAGTTGGTGTTGGCATCACTAACATTGGAAATCTTAAATAATCAAATTCACCACGGAACAATCTCAGTGACACAGTCTGGACAACGACAACATAAGATGGCCGAGCAAGCCAAGGTGGATGCCAGTCCAGGCCTCATCGTAGTCTGACGACGTTTATTTCATGACTCGTGTGTGCGATAGAAGTGGCTCATTTCAGCATGGTGTAAAACAGAGAGATGATGAAAGAAATCATTATTGATAGTCAACCAAGAATGTATATATCCCCCTCGAATATCTGCTAACTGAAATAGCCCCCAGGCGTTCATATCATTCAAGGTGGGTATGGTGTTTTTTATTCGCACACACGCGCACACACACATAGAATATGACCATATGATCCTTTTTTTAAATAGGTCATGTTGATAAGAAGAGGTAGGTGAAATTGGCAACCTGCAGTGGACAACGACGGGAGCCTTGCTGTCAGCCGCCATGGACCGGAACACCTTCCAGAACCGGACGAGCGGAGGGGATGATGGGACGCCATGATCAGGCCACGTGACATAGTGCAGGTGCATCACTTGACGGCGTTCGTTCAGCTATAACGGAAAGTAAGCTTCGTATTCAGAGAACATATCTCCTTGAATGGACACTGAACTCCTCTGCGCGCATGTATATGTATGGAGTGAGCGTTAAGCTCAGATCCAAATGTGTGGGGTGATGTATAACATGATACACAGCCAGGTCACACATGAGGTACAAGGACCTGGTTTACAGGGGTGGGGCTGATGTATAACATGATACACAGCCAGGTCACACATGAGGTACAAGGACCTGGTCTACAGGGGTGGGGTGATGTATAACATGATACACAGCCAGGTCACACATGAGGTACAAGGACCCGGTCTACAGGGGTGGGGTGATGTATAACATGATACACAGCCAGGTCACACACGAGGTACAAGGACCCGGTCTACAGGGGTGATGTATAACACGATACACAGCCAGGTCACACATGAGATACAAGGACCTGGTCTACAGGGGTGATGTATAACATGATACACAGCCAGGTCATACATGAGGTACAAGGACCTGGTTTACAGGGGTGGGGCTGATGTATAACATGATACACAGCCAGGTCATACATGAGGTACAAGGACCTGGTTTACAGGGGTGGGGCTGATGTATAACACGATACACAGTCAGGTCACACATGAGGTGCAAGGACCTGGTCTACAGGGGTGGGGTGATGTATAACATGATACACAGCCAGGTCATACATGAGGTACAAGGACCTGGTCTACAGGGGTGAAGTAATGTATCACATGCTAAACAGCCAGGTCATACATGAAGTACAAGGACCCGATCTACAGGGGTGGGGTGATGTATAACATTTTATACACAGCCAGGTCATACATGAGGTACAAGGACCTTGTCTACAGGGGTGGGGGTGATGTAAAACATGATACACAGTTAGGTCATACATGAGGTTCAAGGACCTGTTCTACCGGTGTGGGGTGATGTATAACATGATACACAGTTAGGTCACACATGAGGTACAAGGACCTGTTCTACCGGTGTGGGGTAATGTATAGCACGATAGACAATCAAGTCACACATGAGGTAGAAGGATCTGGTTTTACAGGGTTCTGGTGATGTATACTATGGTAACCGTCAGGTCAGATATTGCAAGGATCCATCCCGCCCAGAGTATCCCCTAGCCATTGTGAACAGTATATAAGAACCAGATGTGATATATACTACCCATCAAAAGTTAAGACTCACTTAAAGTACTCACTACATGTTATGTATATAATTTGGTTACATCAAAGATGAATTTCTACACTAACTTGGGGGAACCAACTGCAAACATTATGCAAATGAACTGCATGAGGATCATGCATCAAATTGCTGAAAAGCATGTGCAAATATCGTGCGTGTGAACAGCTACGTTTTGGTGTAAAGTTTTGTTAAGAATTCGCCAATTTTCACTCAGTTTCATCACTTATTGAACTCATGACAATAATCTTTTCAATATTACGAGTTTGTTTTACAATACTCCAGTTCATGTGTAAACAGTACCTATAAATAGTATGGAATATTTTGCAAAATCTAGTTTAGAACAGTTGACTGAAGTAGGTGGCTACATTTACACTAATGAGTCTAAACTTTTAATGGGTAGTATGAACCTTCTTGTGCTGTATGGTAATCTGTGTGATGCAGTAGTCTGGTCTCTCAGTGACCCCGTCGTTGGTGATGGTCAGGTCTCCAAGTTTCAGTGGACTCTTCTCCTCCGGCCAGTACTTCTCACACTTCACCTGGACATACATAAACACCGAGCTCACAACAACATACATAAACACCGACCTTCACAACAACATACATAAACACCGAGCTCACAACAACATACATAAACACCGACCTTCACAACAACATACATAAACACCCAGCTCACAACAAGATACATAAACACTGAGCTCACAACAACATACATAAACACCGACCTTCACAACAACATACATAAACACCGACCTTCACAACAACATACATAAACACCGACCTTCACAACAACATACATAAACACCGACCTTCACAACAACATACACAAACACCGACCTTCACAACAACATACACAAACACCGACCTTCACAACAACATACATAAACACCGAGCTCACAACAACATACATAAACACCGACCTTCACAACAACACACATAAACACCGAGCTTCACAACAACACACATAAACACCGACATTTACAACAACATACACATAAACACCGACATTCACTAAAACATACATATCACCGACCTTCACAACAACATACATAAACACCGAGCTCACAACAACATACATAAACACCGACCTTCACAACAACATACATAAACACCGACCTTCACAACAACACACATAAACACCGACATTTACAACAACATACACATAAACACCGACCTTCACAACAACATACATAAACACCGACCTTCACAACAACATACATAAACACCGACCTTCACAACAACATACATAAAAACACTGACCTTCACAACAAATATACATAAACACTGACCTTCACAACAACATACATAAACACCGACCTTCACAACAACATACATAAACACTGAGCTTCACAAAACAACATACATAAAAACGCCGAGCTCACAACAACATACATAAACACCGACCTTCACAACAACATACATAAACACCGACCTTCACAACAACATACATAAACACCGAGCTCACAACAACATACATAAACACCGACCTTCACAACAACATACATAAACACCGAGCTTCACAACAACATACATAAACACCGACCTTCACAACAACATACATAAACACCGACCTTCACAACAACATACATAAACACCGACCTTCACAACAACATACATAAACACCGACCTTCACAACAGCATACATAAACACCGACCTTCACAACAACATACATAAACACCGACCTTCACAACAACATACATAAACACCGACCTTCACAACAACATACATAAACACCGACATTCACAACAACATACATAAACACCGACCTTCACAACAACATACATAAACACCGACCTTCACAACAACATACATATCACCGACCTTCACAACAACATACATAAACACCGACCTTCACAACAACATACATAAACACCGAGCTCACAACAACATACATAAACACCGACCTTCACAACAACATACATAAACACCCAGACCTTCACAACAACATACATAAACACCGAGCTCACAACAACATACATAAACACCGACCTTCACAAATAACATACATAAACACTGACCTTCACAAATAACATACATAAACACTGACCTTCACAACAACATACATAAACACTGACCTTCACAACAACATACATAAACACTGAGCTTCAGAACAACATACATAAACACCGACCTTCACAACAACATACATAAACACCGACCTTCACAACAACATACATAAACACCGACCTTCACAACAACATACATAAACACCGACCTTCACAACAACATACATAAACACCGACCTTCACAACAACATACATAAACACTGACCTTCACAACAACATACATACATAAACACTGACCTTCACAACAACATACATAAACACTGACCTTCACAACAACATACATAAACACCGACCTTCACAACAACATACATAAACACTGACCTTCACAACAACATACATAAACACTGACCTTCACAACAACATACATAAACACCGACCTTCACAACAACATACATAAACACCGACCTTCACAACAACATACATAAACACTGACCTTCACAACAACATACATAAACACCGACCTTCACAACAACATACATAAACACTGACCTTCACAACAACATACATAAACACTGACCTTCACAACAACATACATAAACACCGACCTTCACAACAACATACATAAACACTGACCTTCACAACAACATACATAAACACTGACCTTCATACATAAACACTGATCACATACAAAACACTGACCTTCACAACAACATACATAAACACTGACCTTCACAACAACATACATAAACACTGACCTTCACAACAACAACATACATAAACACCGACCTTCACAAATAACATACATAAACACTGACCTTCACAACAACATACATAAACACCGACCTTCACAACAACATACACATAAACACTGACCTTCACAACAACATACATAAACAAACACGACCTTCACAACAACATACATAAACACCGACCTTCACAACAACATACATAAACACCGACCTTCACAACAACATACATAAACACCGACCTTCACAACAACATACATAAACACCGACCTTCACAACAACATACATAAACACCGACCTTCACAACAACATACATAAACACCGACCTTCACAACAACATACATAAACACCGACCTTCACAACAACATACATAAACACCGACCTTCACAACAACATACATAAACACCGACCTTCACAACAACATACATAAACACTGACCTTCACAACAACATACATAAACACCGACCTTCACAACAACATACATAAACACTGACCTTCACAACAACATACATAAACACCGACCTTCACAACAACATACATAAACACTGACCTTCACAACAACATACATAAACACCGACCTTCACAACAACATACATAAACACCGACCTTCACAACAACATACATAAACACCGACCTTCACAACAACATACATAAACACCGACCTTCACAACAACATACATAAACACCGACCTTCACAACAACATACATAAACACCGACCTTCACAACATACATACATAAACACCGACCTTCACAACAACATACATAAACACCGACCTTCACAACAACATACATAAACACTACCTTCACAAATAACATACAAAACACCGACCTTCACAACAACATATAAACACCGACCTTCAAACAACATACATAAACACCGACCTTCACAACAACATACATAAACACTGACCTTCACAACAACATACATAAACACCGACCTTCACAACAACATACATAAACACCGACCTTCACAACAACATACATAAAAACACTGACCTTCATAAATAACATACATAAACACTGACCTTCACAACAACATACATAAACACCGACCTTCACAACAACATACATAAACACTGACCTTTCCACAACAACATACATAAACACCGACCTTCACAACAACATACATAAACACCGACCTTCACAACAACATACATAAACACCGACCTTCACAACAACATACATAAACACTGACCTTCACAACAACATACATAAACACCGACCTTCACAACAACATACATAAACACTGACCTTCACAACAACATATACATAAACACCGACCTTCACAAATAACATACATAAACACTGACCTTCACAACAACATACATAAACACCGACCTTCACAACAACATACATAAACACCGACCTTCACAACAACATATACATAAACACCGACCTTCACAACAACATACATAAACACACCGACCTTCACAACAACATACATAAACACCGACCTTCACAACAACATACATAAACACCGACCTTCACAACAACATACATAAACACCGACCTTCACAACAACATACATAAACACCGACCTTCACAACAACATACATAAACACTGACCTTCACAACAACATACACAACAACATACATAAACACTGACCTTCACAACAACATACATAAACACCGACCTTCACAACAACATACATAAACACCGACCTTCACAACAACATACATAAACACCGACCTTCACAACAACATACATAAACACCGACCTTCACAACAACATACATAAACACCGACCTTCACAACAACATACATAAACACCGACCTTCACAACAACATACATAAACACCGACATTCACAACAACATACATAAACACCGACCTTCACAACAACATACATAAACACCGACCTTCACAACAACATACATAAACACCGACCTTCACAACAACATATACATAAACACCGACCTTCACAACAACATACATAAACACCGACCTTCACAAATAACATACATAAACACCGACCTTCACAACAACATACATAAACACCGACCTTCACAACAACATATACATAAACACCGACCTTCACAACAACATACATAAACACCGACCTTCACAACAACATACATAAACACTGACCTTCACAACAACATATACATAAACACCGAGCTTCACAACAACATACATAAACACCGACCTTCACAACAACATACATACATAAACACCGACCTTTTACAACAACATACATAAACACCGACCTTCACAACAACATACATAAACACCGACCTTCACAACAACATACATAAACACCGACCTTCACAACAACATACATAAACACCGACCTTCACAACAACATACATAAACACCGACCTTCACAACAACATACATAAACACCGACCTTCACAACAACATACATAAACACCGACCTTCACAACAACATACATAAACACCGACCTTCACAACAACATACATCACAAACACATACATAAACACCGACCTTCACAACAACATACATATAAACACCGACCTTCACAACAACATACATAAACACCGACCTTCACAACAACATACATAAACACCGACCTTCACAACAACATACATAAACACCGACCTTCACAACAACATACATAAACACCGACATTCACAACAACATACACATAAACACCGACCTTCACAACAACATACATAAACACCGACCTTCACAACAACATACATAAACACCGACCTTCACAACAACATACATAAACACCGACCTTCACAACAACATACATAAACACCGACATTTACAACAACATACACATAAACACCGACCTTCACAACAGCATACATAAACACCGACCTTCACAACAACATACACAAACACCGACCTTCACAACAACATACATAAACACCGACCTTCACAACAAAATACATAAACACCGACCTTCACAACAACATACATAAACACCGACCTTCACAACAACATACATAAACACCGACCTTCACAACAACATACATAAACACCGACCTTCACAACAACATAACAAAAACCGAGCTCCACAAATACAACACAAATAACATACATAAACACTGACCTTCACAACAACATACATAAACACCGACCTTCACAACAACATACATAAACACCGACCTTCACAACAACATACATAAACACCGACCTTCACAACAACATACATAAACACCGACCTTCACAACAACATACATAAACACCGACCTTCACAACAACATACATAAACACCGACCTTCACAACAACATACATAAACACCGACCTTCACAACAACATACATAAACACCGACCTTCACAACAACATACATAAACACCGAGCTCACAACAACATACATAAACACCGAGCTCACAACAACATACATAAACACCGACCTTCACAACAACATACATAAACACCGAGCTCACAACAACATACACATATCCAATGACATTAACAACAACATGCACATTTGAAGAAGAACACGTTTGATGGATAGAAAACTTTATTGCAATATATGAGATGTTTCTGGCTAGATCTTAACACTGTTATCAAGCAAATGATACACATACACATGGCGAAATATATATATATGAAGAGTATTTGAATTTATACAATTAAAGAGGTTGGTGTTCAATAACAGCGATTTGAAACTATGATCGTTTGTTAAACAACTTTCATCCTGAGTTGAATAAAATTCTCAGATTTAAATGTTCATTTGGCAAGGTAAAATTATGAGGATTCTCAATCTTATTTTCACTTTATTTGATTTACTTTTTTATCTAATGTGAAATTCATAGTTGATCGTAAGCTAACATATTCAAAGAGACTCATATCAACACACACACTAACACATTCACAGAAGCACACACAGACATTCTCAGTTGGTAACCCAGCTATACACCTCCTAGTACGTCGCACAGTATGTCTCATTGTCTGCTTCGAAAGACTCACGTCCACCATTACATGATATAACAAGAAGACATGGTCATCAATATCCCCCACCAGAGTTCTGTTCCTATTTGGTTCCTGTTCCTTAACTCCACCACAACATTCATGTCCTGAAAACACATACCACATTTGGCTTCCCTATCTGTAACGGTTACTGAGAAAATCTGAGCCATTGGGGATCAGTTCAAGAAACGCAGGACAAGGGCCATAACTCTGTCACGAATTGTAACACGATTTCCGTTTTAGAACACCATCAAGGCATTCATGACCTGAAAACACATACCAAATTTGATTTCCCCGTCTATAACGGGTTTTGAGAAATGTCATCATCATCTCGGACGGACGGAGCTCAAACCAATATCCCCCTCCCACTTCGTGGCGGGGAATAATGGTATATTTGATCAATTACTTGAATCATACAGATGAGAAGAAATTGACATTTAGATGTTTGAGGAGCAGTATCACCTTGATTCCCTCCTTGAGTCTGGTGAGCATGACGATGATGTCGGTCTCCTCCTGCCAGATCATCCTCCAGAAGTCGCCCACAGTCTTGGGCATTGGGCCTTGTGAACACACATAACACTGTTACTGTCGATGGCATAAAAAGTTCAAACAAGACATTCTTACGGTCCCATTACAGTGAATTATATCCCAGGACAACGTATTGACGTAACTGAATAAACTGGGGTCGCAATTTAAGTTAAGGTTATCATTAAGATAAATTTTATGAAAATTTAATATATTTTCAAAATTATCCGACAGGTTGGTGAAATAAACCCGACATATCTCCAGCATTTGTATTACAGAACACATCAGTAAGGACAGGTGGTTAAAACCTTACCTTGGGTTGCAATAAAGGCCTTCTTCTCCTTGTAGGTCTGTTGACAAGTGTCCAAACATTATAATTTAGACTGTACTTTCAACCCTCTCAGTGACTCTCGTATTGAGCAGGATCAGTGTTACCTTAGTTACTATTTTGTTTCAGGTTTTAGTGACTAATGTGAAGAAATGACTCATGAAGTAATCAACATGTCAGCTCAGGACGCTATGTTCATCTGGTTGAGGGACAAACACTGGCTCTGAAAGGTCCTTACAAACAATGAGGGTATAATCCATAAAGGCGTTACATGTTCATGTTCTTCTAACGTCTAAATCCCTATAAGAGACACATTGATTTATAACAGTAAATGCAACCTGTTTAAACCCAAACGCAACTATCTATACGTCGATACCACATCACATACCAGGTCACTTATTCCTTGAGACATTTCAGACATTGGAGATATGTAATGCGCAAGCGTTAAGGATAAGACAGACATACGTTGATGTAGTTGGCGTTGATGTAGTCGGAGTGCTTGTCCCTAGGCGTCTTCTGCAGGACAACGCGGGAGTGGTCATCTGGAAAAGAGATCATTACAAAGTGAATCGGTATTATTTTACGCCGCTTTTAGCAATATTCCAGCAATATCACGGCGGGGGACACCAGAAATGGGTTCACATGGGGAATCGATTCATGGGGAATCGAAGCTGGGTTTTCGGCGTGACGAGCGAACTCTTTAACCTCTAGGCTACCTCACCGCCCGATCATTACATACGGACCTACTGTTTGACTTTATTGCTACTATTAAACTGAAAAGCATCTGAGGTTTTCGTACACGTGAAAGGTCAATATTAATTTTCGTGGTAATTCACAGTATATACCGTCCACCGTTAAACAAATTAAAAGCGAGCTCGTACAGGGATACATGGCTTTGAATCTGTTCTTGGGCCTGTGTTCTGGGGTGGTGGCAGCTGTGTGAGCGTGGAGCAGACCTCGAGGCACTCTCTGGAAATATAGACACATAGTAACTACTTCTTCCTTAAACGTCATAGGCACTATATCACACCACGCTTCTCTAAAAATAAATAACGTATTACTCTCAATAATACTAACCATCAGCTCTCAGGGAAGCTACCATATATTTTATTCCCCAAAAATACTTCCCCCGTATTTTGATTACAATATTAAATTAAAAAGTTCGACTGAATTAATGCAAAGTTGCAATAAATCGACTCTCACGCCCTCTACCGGCCGAACATTATTTCAAGCGAACCCCCATATAGTTATGTCCCTTGGGGCGCTCTTTACGAATATCCTAAGCACAACTTGTGATTGAAACCAGTTTGGCAAACACCGACAACACCGCGTACCACTTTACATTCCATATATGGCAAGTGTTCTCTGTTTGGAAGCTGTTCGCCTTGAACTTTCAATCATCGATTTCAGGCAAGCCGTTAGGGATAAGTCTTTTATTGCATCAATATGAAGCTAAAGAGAGTCCATATGCTCAAATATATACTCATCGCAAAAAGTTAAGCAACACAAATTTGTAGTCTCATTACATTTTCATTGATTGAAATTGCAAATCTTGGAATGATGCAATAGAAATGTGAAACATATTTACACACGATTAGCAAAATGAAATGATACTGAGGAATAATCGACTTACGAATCATCAAAAGCATGTACCCGTGAAAGAGTTGTGTACAATGTGCTGCATTGATGGAATAAAATGTTAACATTAAGGTTCAAGTCAGTTTTGGGGACAGTGAAGCAGTGTTCAGTAAAGCGTATGAGCGCCATGAGCACAAATGCAGGCTTCTACACGTCTTTGCATTGACCAAATGAACCTTTAAAGTTGATGTTGTGGAATGTTCTGCCGTTATCTCTGTAACGCCTGCTCAAGGTCATCCAGAGTCTGGGGGTGAACATTGAGACCGTGAACACGACTTCCAATAATGTCCCAAGCATGTTCAATGGGATTAAGGTCAAGTGATCTTGCAGGCCAGTACATATGTGTGACGTTATTGATCTAAACAACATCGTTAACAACTCTTTCTCGGGCACTATCATCCATGGACGGGCATTATCATCCATAAAATTGAAGTTAGAATCCGCTTGTTGTACCAGAGGAATGATTACAGGTAGGTTTACACCGATCAGGGTGCATGTGTGAAGAGTGGAGCACATTCATGCCACACATTTCGCATGTTCTTTCTGAGGGTGGTTGTGTTTCGGTGATGTTGTCAGTGTTATCAGATAAATCAATTTGACAGTCCCTAAAGGTTATGTATTCTTTGAATATTTACCTTTCAGTAACACTGAAATTACACTGAAAATACTTGTTGCTTATTTTTTGTGAGGAGTATATATAATATAGACCAAAATATTGTCGAAAATGTGTGACATTGTGCCTTTAAGCTACAGTATATGGAATATATACAGATGTACGATAAAAAAAAACGACGTGCACCAATACGTACGCAGCTTCAAAAACGAAGCCATCAATATTTGAGATGTAGTTTGGACATTGTCTGTGACGGGACAGATGCAGCATGAAGGTACCCACATTACATTATGGAAATACTCAAATGCTCTTCGAGTATTTTTGACACATTATGTCTAGTGGATGCAGCAAGATATGGGATTATCACTTAATAATGCCGCAGACACCAATATATATTTTGGAGCAAAGTAAATGTCGGTTTTAGGAGGAAATATACGCCACTACTGTTCACCAGAAGGATATATAAAAGACACCTTACTGTAGAAATAATTAAATAAAAAGGTACAATTCTACGTACCCCATACTCGGACACAAACTTGTCTTCTCTCTTGGCGATGTATTCTCGAAGCTCAGCTACCTTCACCTTGGTCAGTTCCACGTTGACATAAATGCCGTCTGCATCCCTTCATCCGACACGGCCCCCTTCACCTTAAGAATCACAGAATATCACTGCTGCCGCTATCTATAGGATAGTGGCTGATCAGGAAATATTTTGGGTTTACCTTCTAGCAGTGACTACCCGTGAAGATCCGGGGTAGAATAGGTCTTCAGCAACCCGTGCTTGCCACAAAAGGCGACTATGCGTGTCGTAAGAGGCATCTAACGGGATCAAGTGGTCAGGCTCGTTGATTTGGTTGACACATGTCATCGGTTCCAATTGCGCAGATCGATGTTCATGATGTTGATCACTGGATTGTCTGGTCCAGACTCTATTATTTACAGACGGCGCCATATAGCTGGAATATTGCTGAGTGCAGCGTAAAACTAAACTCACTCGCTCATTCTAGAAGTGACAACATGCAGTCCAAGTTTGATCCATGCGGTTGGTGACCGCCTCCGTGGTGTAGTGGTTAGAGCGTCCGCCCGGAGAGCGGAAGATCGCGGGTTTCGATCCCCTGACCGCGTCATACCAAAAGATGTTAAAATATGGTACTTGTTGGTCCCTGTCTGGCGCTCGGCATTAATGGGTACAACAAACACTGGTCGGCTCGGAGTCAGTATAATGTGACTGAGTGGGGTATTCATGCTTCACTGCGGCATGGTATCTCAGTGGGCTAGCACTATAAAACCAGCTTAAGTCAGGGCTAGTACAAGCAGCCACACATACACATACACACGCATGCACGTCGTCATATGAGCGAAACATTATCAAGCACGACGTTAAACTCAATTTCACCTCACCTCACCATGCGGTTGGTTGTTTTCTAAAGCTGCACTGACGGCGGTCTGTATACAATCGAGTCTGGACAGACAATCCAGAGATCAACATCATAAGCATCGATCTAAGCCACTGGGATACAATGACATGTGTCAACCAAGTCATCGAGCCTGACCACCCGGTCTCGTAAGTCGCCTCTTATAACAAGCATGAGTGGCTGAATCCGAATCTTCGCGGGTCCTGGTCCATGGGGCATCAAATGGATGTCAGAAGGTGACCAATAACATGCGGAGAAATACATTAACCCTTGGACATAAAGACAATGAGTGGACAATGAGTGGAAAGTGAGCCCAGTGCCTGGATGAAGAACCAGTGATCTACACAAGAGTCAAATTCATCACCATTTCAATCCATGTAAATGTGAACTGGTGCATCGGGACAGGGTCTATTACATCACTATTGGTATGGAATGGCCCTTACTGTGAGACTCAACATTATATATAACTTTATTCAGTAGAAAGGCCACAGGCCCATGTACAATATCTATTACAATACTAAAGGTATGATGTGCACAACAACTAGAACATATTTATGATAATATATATTCACAATAATAATGCGCTACATCGCATACTTGTATTACACACAATGGTTCAAGTCTTGTTGATTTTATATTGGCGTCGACCAGTTGTTTTTACTTGATTAAGGATATGTTTGTCCACTCGCGGTCAGACTCTGACCACCTGCCTCTATCGTGCATTGTAGAGGTATCCGTCGAGGATTGTGGTGATAACTCGCTAGTAACCAGTGTTCGTCATGTAGAGTGTGAAAAACTCGTAAAGTTCAGGTGGAATAATGGTGGTTTAGACAAGTTCAATGAGTCTGTAGCGTCTAGTACAGCGAGTTGTATATTAGATGAGTTTCTTGATCTCGTCTATTCTGATATCAATGGTGCCACCGAGAAACTTGTTGAGTTTCTCCGCTTTGTGGGAAGTCACTTTCAATGTCGTGATGTTCAGATCCCGAAATCAAAGAATATTCAACCTAATTGGTTTGATGAAGAATGCGAAAGTTCAAAAAAATATAAGTTCTACTGGCTTAATATGTTCCGCAAATGCAGATCAAATGAAAATCTAAACAGATACATTGAAGCAAAGAGACACTTTCGCCTCTTGTGTAGAAATAAAAGTAGAATGTTTAACGGTGGTATTGCTGATGAGATTCAGAGTGCAGCTAAAAGTGGTGACTGTAAGAAGTTCTGGCATAAGATAAAATCTCTACTGAACAATTGTAATGAAAATAACACAATTACGGCAGATAAGTGGGTGACATATTTTAAGAACTTGTTAAACCCGACGTGTCGGGAAACAAATGTTGAGTTCAATGAGAATGTTGACGCATTTTTGACACAGCATGATTACTGTGCGGACTGTAACAATACTGACTTTTATCTGCACCAATTACCAGAACAGAAATAGAAAATGCAATCAAAGTTTTAAAATCTGGTAAATCCCCAGGTATTGATGGAACACCACCCGAATTCTTCAAACATGCTCAATGCATACTTCCCTACCTAGAAATATTGTTTAATGCTATACTGGACAGCAGCATTTTCCTGATATCTGGAATGTTGGCTTTGATCATTCCACTCTATAAAAAAGGAAGCACTCACGAACCAAATAACTATCGTGGAATCTCTTTGCTGAATGTAATGGGGAAAATATTCACTTCTATCCTCGAAGTCAGAATCCGTATCTGGTTAGATTTAAACGATATACTACATGAATGTCAAGCAGGGTTTAGGCCCGATTACTCATCAGCTGATAATATGTTCGTTCTGCAAGCTCTATGCCAAAAGTATTTAAGAAAACGTAGACATCGGTTTTACGCAGCTTTCATTGACTTTCGGAAGGCCTTTGATTATATAGACAGAAACAAGCTTTTATATGCTCTTATCTCCAAAGGTATGCATGGGAAAATAATACGAATCCTCAAAAACATGTATGATAAGGTATCTGCTTGTGTGAAAATATCTAGTGTACGAACAGAAGTATTCTCGACAACATCTGACTACGACAAGGATGTATTCTCAGTCCTGTTCTGTTCATTTTCTTTATCAACGAATTAGTAGATGAAATGAATGCATGTGGCCTACGTGGAATATTTGTGAAAAATGGTATGAATGATATACTTTTATTGTTATTCGCAGATGACGTCACTCTCATTGATGACACAGTAATAGGTTTACAAAAAGCTGGATACATTAAAATCATTTTGTATCAAATGGGGTCTAGAAGTTAACTTAGATAAATCCTGCATTATTGTTTTCAGGAATGGTGGCTATCTTCGAAATAACGAAAAATGGCTTTATGATGGTACAAACATGAAGGTTTTATCTCATTATAAATATCTTGGCATTGTTTTCACATCAAAATTGTACTGGTCTAAAGCATGTGAAACATTAGCTTTTACAAGCTAGGAAGGCTTCATTTCCGATATTTTCTCTTTTCAGAACTTATCAAAATATCTCTTTGAATGTGGCATCTACTATATTTGATAGCAAAATTGCAACTGATTCTGCTTTATGGTGCAGAAATATGGGGTTTACCTATCGTGCAAACATTGAAAAATACAAAGTTATTATTTCAAAAGATATCTTCGTGTCAGCAAAACTGTATCTTCAAATATTGTACTCGGTGAAACAGGTAGAAGCCATCTTTGTGTACAGTATTTCACCCGTTGTATAAAGTACTGGTGTAGACTCCTGAATATGGAAAGTTATCGTATTCCAAAGGCATGTTATGAAATGTTAAAAACATACGACGACAATGGTGGTCGCAACTGGGTATCCCATGTACGTTTACTTTTATTTCACTCTGGGTTTTCTTTTGTGTGGTTATCGCAAGATTGTGGCGATGTAACAAGTTTTATAAGTGTTTTAAACAGAGATGTAAAGATATAGATATACAGAATTGGTATGCAAAAATCACTTCTTCATCATTCTTAAATCATTACTCATCATATAAATCTGTACTTGAACCGGAAAAATATATATCAGAGTTTTGCTATGATAAAGATCTCTTACGAGTTTTATTTAAATTCAGATGCATGAGTCATAAACTTAAAATTCAACACAAACTGTTTTAATAAGGTAAATGCTGATTCCATTAAATGTGATAAATGTAATTGTAATTGGATACAAGATGAGTATCATTTCTTACTCGTATGTCCATTTTATTCACAACAACGCTCTTTGTACATTCCTGACTTTTATATTAGAATAAAATGAACCTCATCTTCTAAAATGTTCTTACAAAATGGACAAAATCTTAATTCTCTTGGGATATTATTTCTTCTGCCTGTATTCTTCATAATATTTAATTCACCGAATCTTAAAAGTGATAAAAACCTTCTTAAATCTTTGTTATATAATGTTGACAACTATGATTCCATATTAAACGTACTTTTGACACATGAATAGAACTCTAAATTAGAATGTTCATTTAACTTAGAAACTATACACTGGATGTTTTAAATATTTAACTCATTGAGAAAACTGTTTAAAAAATAGCAGTGCCCACATAAAGCTAATAAATAACTTTGTCACCATGACGCATAACAGGTATTTATACAGTTACGTGACTATAGTCAGAGGTCCAGGACACATTCATCAGGGCTGTACGGGGTATTTATACCGTTACATCACTATAGTCAGCGGTTCAAGACACATTCATCAGGGCTGTACGAGGTATTTATACTGTTACATGACTAACGTCAGAGGTTCAGGACACATTCATCAGGGCTGTACGAGGTAATTATACTGTTACATGACTAACGTCAGAGGTTTAGGACACATTCATCAGGGCTGTGCGAGGTATTTATACTCTTACATGACTATAGTCAGAGGTTTAGGACACATTCATCAGGGCTGTACGAGGTATTTATACTGTTACATGACTAACGTCAGAGGTTTAGGACACATTCATCAGGGCTGTACGAGGTATTTATACTCTTACATGACTAACGTCAGAGGTTCAGGACACATTCATCAGGGCTGTACGGGTATTTATACTGTTACGTGACTCTAGTCAGAGGTTCAGGACACATTCATCAGGGCTGTACGGGGTAATTATACTGTTACGTGACTAACGTCAGAGGCTCAGGACACATTCATCAGGGCTGTACGAGGTAATTATACTGTTACATGACTAACGTCAGAGGTTTAGGACGCATTCATCAGGGCTGTACGAGGTATTTATACTCTTACATGACTATAGTCAGAGGTTTAGGACACATTCATCAGGGGTACACATTCATCAGGGCTGTACGAGGTATTTATACTGTTACATGACTAACGTCAGAGGTTTAGGACGCATTCATCAGGGCTGTACGAGGTATTTATACTGTTACACGACTATAGTCAGAGGTTTAGGACACATTCATCAGGGCTGTACGAGGTATTTATACTCTTACATGACTAACGTCAGAGGTTCAGGACACATTCATCAGGGCTGTACGAGGTATTCATACTGTTACATGACTAACGTCGGAGGTTTAGGACGCATTCATCAGGGCTGTTCGAGGTATTTATACTCTTACATGACTAACGTCAGAGGTTCAGGACACATTCATCAGGGCTGTACGAGGTATTTATACTGTTACATGACTAACGTCGGAGGTTTAGGACGCATTCATCAGGGCTGTACGAGGTATTTATACTGTTACATGACTAACGTCAGAGGTTCAGGACACATTCATCAGGGCTGTACGAGGTATTTATACTGTTACATGACTAACGTCAGAGGTTCAGGACACATTCATCAGGGCTGTACGAGGTACTAATAGCGCTACATGACTAACGTCAGAGTTTCAGGTTACATTGTCAAAAATTAGTTAGTGAGTGGTTTTACGCCGCTTTAGCGATATTCAGAAATTGGCTTCAGACAGTGTAACCATGTGGGGAATCAAACTCAGGTCTTCAGCGTGGCGATTTAACCATTAGGCTACCCCACCACCCCGTGTCAACACTGTAGGCGAATGTTCTGAAGGTTAAAGATCAAACAGTATGTGAAATACTGGAAATACTTGGAAATACTGATTACATCCATGTAAAAATGTGTGGCAAGACAGTAAGGAGAAAAGTAGGCAACCCCATTTTCATGCATATTGGAAAAGCACAAGGAAATTCAACAAGGAACGGTACACATATATACATTTACGCAACAGTATCAAACATGATGTCTGATGCAGTTTTGAATTGTACCTTATGTTCCCTTGTTTTGATCTAGGTGAACAGTTGACTCTTTCCCTGTGGTAGTGGCGGCGCCCACAGGTGGGGCGGGATAATGTTACCTTTTGGAGAACACGTGGTACCATCTTTGGAAACAGAGCTTTCTTAAAATACACTTTTTTTCTGTTTCTTTTTAATTTATTTTAAAGGTATTTATACTTACCCGGATATGCTTGATTAACGACGACATCGGGCGAAGCTGCAGCGACGTCAGTGTTCGACTTCCTTTGTTTCCGTCTGTGTAATGTGATCAAAGTGTATTAAAAATAATGTTGTTAGCCCCACATAACAAAAACCTCAACATGTTCAAGTCCAAAACGTACCATACAACTTTATGGATGACAACTTCTTGTTTATTGCACATAGCGACGTTTCGATGTAGGTTCTTACACTGTTCTCAAGCTAAAAGTATTGGTCCATGCAATAAACAAGAAGCTGTCATCCATAAAGTAGACAAATTATAAGACTATGTAAAATTCTTTAAATATAGCACCGTTACAGCTTTAACGAATGACATTAAGACGATCTTACAAAGTTGTATTTCATTTTCGACTCACCAACTTCTAGAATGCCCATCAAACAATTACAAAACGTACCTGTATCTGCAGCAATAGATAATTATAATACATGTATTCTTTAAATACAGTACCGTTACAGCTTTAATGAGTGGCACTTAGACGCTCGTACTCCTTGTAGAACCTGCATCGCTACACGGTGACATATTGAATTAATGGAATCACAGCCAAAGATAGTTTGTCACTTCGGTTGGTGTTGCTGTATGCTGTAACGTTTGGTGATGTTATTAACGGTTTGTGAAGCGTTGTAATGTTGTCAACTGTAACGTGTAGTGATGCAGTTAACTGCTTTGCAATGTAGTTCAGTATGTGTAATGTTTTGTGCCTTTTTTAAACTGTTATATTTCATAATGTTGTTGGCTGCTATGTTTTGCTGTAACTTGTATTCTTGTGTAATGCGGTGGATTGGCATGTTTTGTAATACAGTAAACTGTTGTGTTTTGTAATACAGTAAGCTGTTGTGTTTGTAACACAGTAAACTGACGTGTTTTGTAACACAATAAACTGACGTGTTTTGTAAGGCATGCTTTGTAGAGTAAACTGGCATGCTTTGTAATACAGTAAACTGACATGTGTTGTAATACAGTAAACTGACATGTTTTGTGACACAGTAAACTGACAGAGTCAGTTGTCGTGTTATATAATACAGTAAACTGACATATGTTGTAACACAGTAAACTAACGTGTTTTGTAACACAGTAAACTGACGTGTTTTGTAACACAGTAAACTGACATGTTTTGTAATACAATAAACTGGCATGCTTTGTAATACAGTAAACTGACGTGTTTTGTAATACAATAAACTGACATGTTTTGTGACAGAGTAGACTGTCGTGTTTTGTAATACAGTAAACGGTCGTGTTTTGTAACACAGTAAACTGACATGTTTTGTAATACAGTAACTGACATGTTTTGTAATACAGTAAACTGTCATGTGTTGTCATACAGTAAACTGTTGTATTTTCTAATAATGTAACGTCATGGATGGATTCTCCAGTTTGCAGTCTGTAATATGTTGTGTAAACTGTAGACTTTTGCCCATTTATTGTTTTAAAGGTTCTAAACGCCACAGAATTTTAATGTTTTACACAGTCATGTCTAGTAGTGCGAAGTGCGTAGTGCGAAGTGTTCACGTAAGCTCTAAAGTCTTATGTTTTCAGTTGTTGTAATCTGTTACGTTTTGCGTTGTGAACTAGAAATGAATTTATTTTGGGTTAAACACGGTAGTAGCTTGCCTACTGCAGTGAAGCGTGTTTTGCACGTGCGCAGTTGAAGCAGAAGCCACGTGACGAAGGTGACGTGGTGAGATTGAATGTGAGTTTAGCCATTCGAGGTCTTCGCACTACACAGCGAGCAGCTTTTTCAGTCAAGTGTGTATTGGAAGTTATGTAGGAAAGTTTCAGTATTGAATCTTTATTCCGTTTGGAGGTATTACAAGCCGAATGGTTAATGTATGCAGTATTGCGATCTGTATCAGCAGTGAGGTACTAAGCTTCTGATGTAAGGCGAGGAGCGGTGCTACCTGGTGTGTTCTGACATGACATGCAGCGACGTGGAGATGTGACCTGGCCTGAAGCGGGGAATTGTGTCGGAATTGGAGATGAGTATTTTAGGTTTTTCTCATATTAACATAATTACACGTATAATTTACGTGTATAAATATTTAAAAATTAAACAAATAAATATTGATAATATTGCGTAATAACTTGTAGTATACTTTTATGCATGTGTAAGTAGTCTTTCTGCTGTTGAACTTGTTTGTTTTGCAGGGATGGCTGGAGGTGCAGACTTCATGAGATGGATACGTACTAAATAATCTGTCGGTTCTATGTATACTCCTTTTTGTGCAATAAACCTGCTCGCCTGTGACCTGCGGTAGGCATTGCCCATGCGAAGTGTTTTTGTTGTACATAAATAAATAATTTATGTTCGTTTGATCGAAGAGAATTAGAACATAATGTCAATTACCTCCTCAGGAAATACATCGCAATGATCACCAACACGACAACGACAACGGCAAACGCATACGCCACACCAGCACCGGCATGACCACCTGAGTTCGAGGGTTCTGAAATAATAATTTTCCTGCAGGTGAGCAATATTTCATATCACAAGCGACATTTTATCATGTTTTTAGGTAGGTTTATCAATGAACGAGGAGGTAACCGAGAGACTCTATCCGACCCGTGTTCTCCAAAGTCACATTTGCAGCACAGTCGTACATACTCTAGAACAGGAACCAGACAAGTCATCTGCCCATTCTCCATAGTCCAAACACAATCAACCAACCCTTGGAACAAATACGTACATACTTCAGAGGAAGAACCAGGCAAGTCATATGCCCATTCTCCATAGTCCAAACACAACCAACCCTTGGAACAAATACGTACATACTTTAGAGGAAGAACCAGGCAAGTCCAGGCAAGTCATCTGCACATTCTCCATAGTCCAAACATAATCAACCAACCCTTGAACAAGTACGTACATACTTCAGAGGAAGAACCAGACAAGTCATCTGTCATCTAATCAACCAACCCTTGGAACAAGTACATTCTCTCCAGAGAGAAGCCAGGCAAGTCATAGTCCAAACACAATCAACCAACCCTTGGAACAAATACTTTACTGTTAGGTGCTGATTCCGTGAAAGAAACCAACAAACAACTAATCAATATACTGAGTCAAAAAAGAAACTTCACAAATGTAATTTGAAAATAATGAATAATATTTCTCTGATGATACATCTATGTATCCGAAATGGGATCCCTACCTTTCCACCTCTAGAAAAGTTAGCAAAACCCACTCAAACCCATTCATTCGTCGTGCAAATGACGTTGGTGCCAAATCAGGTTTTGCACGTGCAGTCGATCACGTGATCTTCGCATCGAAGTTTTCTTCATATGCACGTGTTTGCATTGGCCTCAAGAATTGAAAAACACTTTTAAGCCACAGTTTCAACGATACTTGAAATGCCACGATTGTCAAATGTGCAACGTGAAAGTGCCGTTGGCATGTTGCAAGCGGGAAGATCAGTTATTGACGTCACAAGAGCAATGGGATGCAGCCTTCGCACTGTATGATGACTTGCGAGGTCGTCTACAACAAACTGGCACCACTTCTGATCGCCCAAAGGTCGGGTCGTCCACGTGTGACGTCACGAGCAGAAGACCGTCAAATCGTCCTACGTCACCTACGTGACAGATTTCTACCAGGCTACACGAACCAGGGCTGAGAGGTCGACTGTCCTCACAGACCATTCGAAATCGGTTGCGGGCTGCCAATCTCCATTCTCGACGTCCATATCGCGGGCCAATATTGACGCCCTTTTATCAACGTCAACGTCTGCTGTGGGCCCAACGTCACCTCCGATGGACCCAGAGAGACTGGAATCGAGTCGTCCGTCTTTAGCGATGAATCAAAGGCTTACCCTCAGATTCACGGAAGACAGGCTTAGAGTCTGGAGACGACGTCGTGAACGGTATGCAAAATATGCATAACAGCGCTCAGAGGCTATGGCACCTGTATAATATCATGTGCCGTCCAACCTCGTCAACAGTTCCGGAAACACCATGAAATATACGTCAACAGGGAACTGCGAGGTTGTGTACAGGAAGTAGACAGATTCGGGGCGGACGTTGCATGGTGTGGGTGCTGTGGGAACAACCGTTCCAGACTTCTGGTCATCCGTGGAAACCTTACAGCTGCTGCTTACCGCGACCAGGTGCTCACCCCTGAACTCGTTCCTTTCATGGCGGCTCATGGCCCAGGTCTACAGTTCCAGCATGATAATGCTCGGCCCGCATACCGCGATGTTGACACGAAATTTCCTTCAAAACGCTGGAATCAACGTCATGGACTGGCCATCGAGGTCCCCTGACCTTAATCCAATAGAGCACGTTTGGGATGCACTTGGGAGAAGGCTTCGTGGTCTTAGGAACCAACCTCAGAATTTGCAGGAACTTGGCGCTGCCTTGCAAGAGCAATGGCGCAGAATCCCCAACCACGTGTTCACAAGCATCAGGCAGTCGATGAGGGGAGACGGTGTGTTTGGCAGTGGTGAATGCGCGGGGCGGCCATACACGATATTGAACTGAGAAATTTCGCATTTTTATTCTTTGTGACTTGACATTCTGTATACCCATGTTTTGGGAACGACGGTGTAGCCTAATGGAACTGATTATGGCACTGTCAGTGTATCGAGTACATCACACACAGATCTCAGCAATGAAATAATAACAATTTAACCATCTTACCCATCTCTTGTTCTTTTATAGTGCCCTGAAGAAAGAATGTGAAGTTTCTTTTTGACTTAGTATATATGTTGTGATTAACGTTTGCATTCCAAAATTAGCTCAGTTCACGAATCAGTACAAAGGTACCAATATGACGCCACAGAATAGTGTGGCAGTACAAGTTCAAAGGTAATATAATAAAGAGAGCAGTGATTATAGCAATGGAGGCAATGACGGTCAAATTCATCCCCGGTAACAGTAATCCACTTGCAATCCAGTAATCCAGATGGAAGGTGAGATCAGATGGAATAACTCGCTCCACTAACATACTAAAACTTAACCTCGTGGAATTTGTTTCAACTGTTTACACCACCATTATGATACATTGCTCAGACAGACCAAGCGACCACCGGTCAGGATACAGCCACATTCTAGTGAACCCGCCCACAGGATACAGCCATTCATTCTAGTGAACCCGCCCATAGCCGAGATACATGGTGTTCACCAAGACAGATTCTGTCAAGACAGTGGTACTTACGTTGAAGGTTACACGTCGCACCCACATACTTTGGTCTGCACCCACGGGGACACTCCCCTGTGATTGGGTCGCACACCTCCTCGACGCACATTCCACATGTCTCGTTGCAGTTGTAGCCGTAGAAGCCGGTGCCGTTGCAGTCTGATTAAAACAAGAAACATTATGAGTCATTAATTAGCTTTGTCACGGATCATTCCTGATTCAATACATATACCACAAACTTGTGGGTGCTGGAGACTCGAATCGACGTATATACAAAACTAGATAGCAGTTAAAAAGATGGAGCATTACAATGCAGTGTAGATTTCCACTAACTGATCTACTGACAGTGCTGTAGGCCTTGGTCGTTCCTCGTTCTGCTCACAACTACAATTGCATGTACAACCATAATGTGACAACCCACCTGTTAGACATTGAAGCCCCTTCCATCCTCTCTCACACCAGGAGCCTGGACACTCTCCTGTCCCCTTGTCACACACATGTCCACCCAGACACTGTCCACACTGATGGCTGCATGCTGGACCGAAGGTACCGTTTGGACATGCTACATATGAAAAACATTGAATTTACACATTCAGATTTGTTTCTTTTCCCAATCAAATCAAGGGTACAAAACGTTAAATATCTAACGTGAAAATGCAAATGAGTTCACAGGGCAAAAAGGAAATAGATTATATGCCTGGCACATGTTGGCACGCTCCCAAATATTTGTATGCCTTGTCATCTGTACAGAGTAAATAGCCCTTGTCTTGTCGGAGACATTCAACAATGCTTTGGACATTGTGTGCCACTGCAGCAAGGAATCCATCAGTTAACAAAAGGCGTGTTTATCACGTTTGGTGCACATAAGTAAATGTGTGTTTCAGTCGATCCAACCAAAGACTTTGACATTTGTCTGTCACATTAGTTGTTATCATGACAAAATATCTCTGGTTGAATATGGCTTAGGCTGTTTCCAAATTCATGGCTGAAGTTAGACATTAGAATATAGAACGAGGTCCAGCAGTATTTGGGATTTGAATTTCAAGACTACCGAAACCCTCGTGCACGCCAATGACAGAGGCACCAACCTCGCAATGCATAACAAACCTCATAACTGAACACAATCTAAGTAAGCTAAAATAAAACACCACCCCATTAATTATCTTAAGACCTAAACTAAGAATTCCTAAAGCCAAAACACCGCATACCACAAGATTACATACATGAACACTGTCCAAACTAGTGCCCCATTCACACAGACGGATACTTTGACCCGGGTACAAAATACACATGTTTCGGCATCCAGACATCACTACCCTCAAGACAAATTAAATCATACAGACTCCCAGACAGCCAATCAATTTTCACGGCAGATTTATAACCCATAGTAATTGTGTTTAATAGTAATAAACACAATTTAACTCGAATTCTAACAGACTCACTCAGTGGGCTACAAGCAATAAAAAATACAAAACCCAAAGCCAGCCTAAACTTATAACTGAGACACTAAAACCACTCAGGATCTACACGCCTTAAGAAAAAAGGTAGAATTCAATCTATCCCTGCCATTGTTGGTGTCTTTGGCAACGAACATGCCGACCAAGCCGCTATATTACACATCAACCTTCAAAGCCGTAGGTATATTTCTCATAAAAACTGGTCTTTTTAGGTCGCATGTAACCCCACATATGTCGGAAAGCGTACGTTAACCTCCCTCATTATCTCCACTATATAGCCACCTTTGTTCACCCTCCTTGACAACACTTACCTACGTCACATCTCCACCTTGTTCACCCTCCTTGACAACACTTACCTACGTCACATCTCCACCTTGTTCACCCTCCTTGACAACACTACTTACCTTCGCCACATCTCCACCTTGTTCACCCTCCCTGACAACACTTAACCTTCGCCACATCTCCACCTTGTTCACCCTTCTTGACAACACTTACTTTCGTACCTTCGCTACATCTCCACCTTTGCTCACCCCTCCCTGACAACACCAACTCTACGTCACATCTCCACCTTGTTCACCCTCCCTGACAACACTTACCTTCGTCACATCTCCACCTTTGTTCACCCTCCTGACAACACTTACCTTCTCCCACATCTCCACCTTCTTCACTCTCCTTGACAACACTAACCTACGTCACATCTCCACCTTGTTCACCCTTCTGACAACACTTTACCTCGCCACACTCAACCTTTGTTCACCCTCCCTGACAACACTTACCTTTCGTCACAGCTCCACCTTGTGTTCATCCCCTCCTTGACAACACTAACCTACGTCACATCTCCACCTTTGTTCACCCTCCTTGACAACACTTCTCTTCTCCACATCTCCACCTTGTTCACTCTCCTTGACAACACTAACCTACGTCACATCTCCACCTTGTTCACCCTCCCCTGACAACACTAACCTACGTCACAGCTCCACCTTGTTCACCCTCCCTGACAACACTTTACCTTCGCCACAGCTCCACCTTGTTCAACTTCCCTGACAACACTCTACCTTCGCCACATCTCCACCTTGTTCACTCTCCTTGACAACACTTTACCTTACACTTACCTTCCACCTCCTTGACCACTTACCTTCGCCACACTCTCCTCCCTGACAACACTTACCTTCGCCACATCTCCACCTTGTTCACCCTCCCTGACAACATGCTTCCACCTCCCACGTCACATCTCCACCTTGTTCACCCTCCCCTGACAACACTCTTACCTACGTCACATCTCCTCCTTGTTCACCCTCCTTGACAACACTTACCTACTCCTTCGCCACACTCCACCTTGTTCACCCTCCCCTGACAACACTTACCTTCGCCATCCACCTTGTTCACACTCTCTTGCCACAGCCTAATTTGTTCCACTCTTCCTTGAACACTTAACCTTACGTCACATGTCACACCTTGTTCACTCTCTCCTTGACAACACTTACCTTACAAGCCACCTCTAATTTGAGCCCACCTCCCTTGACAACACTTTTTCTTTCCACAATTTAATTCTTTGTCGGCCTCTTCTTGACAATTTAATCCTATTGTCATGATTCTTACCTTTAGCCCACCTCCCTTGACACATTTAATCCCATGTCACAGTTCCACTTGAGCCCACTCCTTGAATTTACTCTTGCTACAGTTTTAATTTTGTCTTAACTCTTGATAACATTCTTATCTCTAATTCTGAAATTACTTCTTGATAATTTTATTTTTGCTTCCCACTTTGAAATTTTAATTCCTTCCCTTTGATAACACTTGCTCTTAAGCACACTAATTTTAGCCTACTCCTCGACAATATTTTACTTGTTATTCTAATTTTAGCCCATCTTCCCTTTGATAACACACTTCACAAGTCATTCTGAGACTCTTAGGGGCCCATCCTTCCTTGACAATTTTATTCTCCCATTTTATTCCACTCTTCCTGATAATACTTTAATTTATATTCCTTCCTGAGCCCACTCCTTCTGGATAACATTTTAATTTACACATTCTCCATTCTTTTAGCCTACTTTGATACTTAATCCCATTAATTTTAGCCCACTCCTTTGATGACAATACTTGCATTCTTTGCATTCTTGACTCCACTCTTGATAACACTTTTACTTTGCTCTTAATTTTGTTTAACTCTTTGATAACATCTTTATTTCAAGCATTACCTTTTAGCCCACTCTTCTTGTGACAACATCTTTATTTCTTTAAGACTTAATGAGCTCCATCTTCCCTTGACAATTTTAATTTGCTTACATTAACTAATGAAATCTACTCCTTCTTGACAACACTAATCTCCTATGTCATATTCTCATCCTGACTCATCTTCCTTTGATAACACTTACTTTAACAGTTTTAATTCTTTGAGTCTACTTCCTTCCTTTGATAATATTTTACTTATTACATCTCTACTCTTAGCCCACCTTTTGATAATATTTAACTTTGTCAAGATTCTACTCTTTTAGAGCCCACTTTCCTGACAACATTTTATTTTAAGATTCTAATTCTTTGAGTCTACTTCTCTTGATACTTTTAATTTTGCTTACATCTCTTAATTTTATTCATACCTTTCCTGTTAAATAATTTTCATTTTTATTCTACTCTTTTGAGTCTTAATTCTCCTTTGATAATTTTATTCTTCTGTCTCTACTCCTGAAATTACTTCTCTTTGATAACATTTTAATTTTATGGGGTTACATTTACCTACTCCTTTGATAACATTTTATTTGCTATCTCTAATTCTTGTTTCTAATTTTGATACTTTTATTTTCTATTCTTAATTTTATCTACTTCTCTTGACAACACTAACTTTATTAAGATTCCTCTACTCTGAGTCTACACTCTTCCCCTTTGATAATACTTTTATTTATGTTAAGATCTCTTCCTGAGTCTACCTCCCTTGATAACATTTTATTTATTATATTCTCTCTACTCCTTTATCTTACTCTTCTTTGATAACATTTTAACTTACACTAATTTGTGCCCACTTTTGATGATAACATTTTGATTTTCTTTGCTATATTTCTTTGACTCTTTTAGGCCTTACTCCCCTTTGACATTTTATTTTTACAGTTCTACTCTTGTGTCTTAATCTCCTTTGATAACACTTTTAATTTTTAAGCATCTCTTCCTGAGTCTTACTTCCTTTGATACTTTATTTTTCACACTTAATTTTAATTCTTGATACTTAATTTAATTTATACCTCTACTTTTAGCCCACTTTCCTGATAACATTTTATTTTTTTCCTAATTTTAGCCCATTTTCTGACAATTTTATTTATCTCTAATTTGAAATTCTGTTCTTTTGATAACACACCTCTATTAAGATTCTCTAATTTTATTCATTCTCTTTGACAATTTTATTTTTGCTATCTCTTAATTTTTAGCCTTACTTCTCTTTGATAACATTTTATTTTGCTACATTCTACTCTGAGCCTACCTTCCTTTTGATAATACTTTTATTTTTATTCTACTCTTGAAATTAATTCTCTTGATAACATTTTATTTTCTATTCCTCTAATTTTGAAATTAATTTCTTCTTGATAATACTAACTTGTTACATTTCTCTCTAATTTTATCACTTTCCTGATAATACTCTTTATTTTTGTTACATCTTCCATTCTTAGCTCACTCTTTCCCTTTGATAACATTTTATTTTATGTTACATCTCTTCTGAAATTCTCCTTTGATAAATATTTTATTTTATGTTTTATTCCTCTAATTTTAGCCTTTTACTTCTCTTGACAATTTTAACTTACACTCTTAATTTTGTCACCTTTGAGAAACATTTCTTAATTTTCTTTTTAAGTTATATTTCTGACTTTGTATTCACTTTCCTTTGACAATACCTTTTACTCTGCTACATTCTACTCTTTTGTACCTTAACTTCTCTGACAACATCTTAATTTTTGCTACATTCTTCCCCTACCACTTTGATAACATTTTACTGCTTACACTCCACCTTTTAGCCCACCTTCCTGACAATTTCATTTTGCTTACATTAATTACTCTTTGTGCCCACTCCTCTTTGACAACATTTTAATTTATATATCATTCTTACCTTAGCCCACTTTCCTTGATAACATTTTACTCTGCTATTAGTTTTTCTGAAATTTTACTTCTCTTGATAACACAAAAAATAATTTATTACATTTCTCTAATTTTCCACTTTCTTTGATAACATTTCAATCTCCATATTACATTCCTCTTACTCTTGAAATTCATTTCTCTTGATAATACCATTTCCATGTTACATTCTCTAATTTTTGTTTTACTCCTTTCCTTGATAACATTTTACTTTGCTTACATTCTCTTAATTCTTTTATTTCCATTTCTTTCCTTTGATAATTTTATTTTTGTTACACTTCCACTCTCCATCTTTCCTTTGATGCTAACATTTTTATTTTTGCTATTATTAATTAATTTTAGCCCATTCTCTTCTTGATTAACATTTTAACGTTTTATTGCCACATTCCCACTCCTGTGACCACCTTCCTGACACCTACTCTGCCACAGCTCCATCCTCCACTTCCCTTCCTTGACAACACAAAAATTCTACGTCACATTCCCTCCACCTTTATTCACTCCTTCTTACCAACACTAACCTACGTCACATCTCCAATTTTATTCACTCCCTCCTGACAACACCTACTCTCCACCTTTTGTTCACTCTCCTTGACAACACTCTTACTCTACACTCCACCTCCAATCTTTGATAAATACTCCACTTTCTCCACATCTCCACCTTTTGTTCACCTCTCCTTGACAACACTTTAATTTTCTTCCACATCTCTTAATTTTGAAATTACTTCCTTCCTTTGACAACACACTAACTTATTGCCACATTCTCCTAATTTTAGCCCATCTCCTTGATAACACTCCTAATTTTCAAGCATACTCTAACTTTAGCCTTACTTCCCTTCTTGATAACACTTTACTCTTTTCTACACCTAACCTTGAAATTCACTCCCCTCACACACTTTGTATTCTGCTCACCTAATTTTATCTATCCTTCCTTGATAACACTTTTAATTTTTCAAGCATTCTAATTTTGAAATTCCACCTCCCACAATTTTATTTTTGCTAAGACTCTACTCCTCCACTCTTGACAATTTTAATTCTTATTCTATCTTTTATTCATTTCCTTCCTGACAATACCTAATCCCATGTCACATCTCCACTTTGAGTCTACTCCTCCTTGACAACATCTTTAATTTACACTCTAATCTTAATTCTATGATACATGCCCCATTTTCTGTTTCCACTTTATCTTATCCCTTCCTTGACAACATCTAATCTCCCATGTCACATCTCCACCTTTGAGTCTTACTCCTCCCTGATAACATCTTTTCTTTTCTCCATGATCTCCACTCTTACTCCTTTGACAATACTAATCCATGTCATCTCCACTTTAGCCCACTCCCTGGATAACACTAATTTACAAGCCACAGCTCCACTCTTTTGTGCTCATCACTCCTCCCTGACAACACACTTTACTTTTCAAGCATAGCTCCATCTTTTTTTTGTCTTAATCCTCCTTGACAACACTTAATTTCTACATTCTCCCACTTTTATCTACTCTTCCTTGATAACACTTTACACCTAATTTTGTCTACCTCCTCCTACTCTTTGCCACACACCACCTTGTTCACCTCCTTGGATAAACACTAACCTTATTGTCATCTCCACTCCTTTGAAATTCACCTCCTTGATAACACTTTACTTTACATAGCTCTTATTCACTTCCTTTGACAATGTAATTTTACAAGTTACATTCTAATTTGTATTCAATTCTTTGGATAACATTAACTCTACAAGCCACATCTCTAATTTTCCTACTTCCCTTCCTGACAAATACTACTTACAAGTCACATTTTAATTTTGAAATTCACTCCTCTCTGACAACACTTTGCCTCTCCACTCTTTATACTCACTCTCTTCTTGACAATACTTTACTTCACACTCTAATTTTGTTCACCTTCCTTTGATAACATCTTTAATTTTTCTTTACAATTAATTTTAGCCTACTCCTTCCTTGATAACACTTAACTCCCATGTCATCTCCACTCCCATCTCTTCCTGATTAACACTCCTATTTGCTATTAGCCTAATTTTATCTAATTCTTCCTTGGATAACACAAAATTTTATTGCCACA